TAGTTCAAGTTCATGTGGGCTGGCACAATAGGCTGAGTCCCGTAAGTGTTCCTTCTTGAGCGGATCTTTGATTCAAAAGTTTATAGTGGTGCTCCGACTTCTTGATGGATCTAAAAGGTAAACACGCGAATAACCCTAAAGTCCACCATTTTATTGCTTACGTGCTTTGCATTAGCTGTCACTTCTATGCCAGTTACGTGAAGTTTAAGTTTAAGTAGGATTAGAACCATGGGATGAAATCCGAACGTGCTGCATCTTTAGTGGGCCGTTGATCCTGGTGTTTATATGGGTGCTCCAAATTCTTGATGGATCCAAAATGAAAACACCTGAAAAAACTGGTCCATCAATTTAGTGCCCACATTCCCTGATTCAGTTGTCCCTGCGATGTTAGTTACGTGAAGTAAGTGAGGAAGAAATTCGAAGCCAAAGTGTAAGGGAACTCAGGTAAAAAAGAGCAAATACCAATGGTGAGGGTAAGCACGAAAAATGGAATCGAAGTACGAAGATAGAAATTAGTTAAGAAAAAGGAACTGTCTCGTGTTGCCACCCAAGAACATCTAGCTGACTCGCAAAGCCCTTAACCCTAGCTTTCTTGACAACGCTCGATGACTCGACGCGGTAACCGTGTCTCCGCTACAACTAGATCGGACCACGGTTTGTCCAGCTTCATACACTGCCCGCGGAGACCAGATAAGCTAATAGGACTAAATGGCCAAAACAACTCAGGACCAACCCTCCCAGGCAATATAGAGTAGATTAGGATTAAGTCCCCACTAATCCTTCGATAATGCATTGAATGCATCGCCAAACAAAGTAGGCGTTCGGGATACGTTTTTCCTCGTAAGCTCACGACCGACCTCGTACTGACACGCAACACCCTTTCTAGGGTCAGTTGGTCCCGAACAAGGCATAGTTCACATTCCTGTACGCAATATTCCAGGTGGGGTCGCACAAATTCTGAGAAGAGTTTCACAAACACTTTAGCGGTTAGGGTCCCGAAAGAAAGAAGGACAAAGCACAACATACGGAACCCTTTACTAGCAGCCTCCTTCCAGTTGTCTCCGGAGTGTTGTGTGGCATAGTGGACGACACCTGGATCAACCTGATGTGTCACGTGATGAAGTTCACTTCCATCGAGCACATAACGTGTGGAGGAATCAGACGCTCCGATACGCAGCACTGAACCTTTTGCCTGGTTTATGGGCAGCTACCACAAGACAAACCATTCCCAGAGTCCATCCAGATCCCGTTGAAGAGAAACAAGACCTCCAGTGATATCAACAACCTTCCAGAGCTTTAATTCATCAGCAACTAAGAGCGATAGTACCTCAAGCTACCTCGAAAGTCCTTCACATATACTGCGAACAGCAGCGGACCTGGAACAGCACTCTGCAGAACGCCGCTAAAGGCAGCTTGTCGAAACGAAAGACCGCTTCCCACACGGACACACTGTTCCCGTCCACCCAGAAAAGCGGACACCCACTAGAGAGCGGGACCAGATATTCCATACGACC